GCTTTGTTCTTTTTGCTCAAGATTACTTTAGTTATTTGAGATCTTTTGTGGTTTCATACAGATTTTAGGATTGTTCTGTTTCTGTGAAAAATGCAATTGGCTTTGTGATAGAGACTGCATTGAATCTCTAGATTGTTTTGGGTAGTGTGGACATCTTAATATTAATTGTTCCAATCCATGAACATGGAATATCTTTCCATTTATTTGTGCCTTCTGAGGTTTGCATTCTTAAGCCAATATTTTTTATGGGTTCTCAAAAGAATGCCTAGTTCCTCTGACCTTACAACAATTTTAAGTGTAATCTCTGTGTAAAGTGAGAATCCAGAATTAGAAGATACACTTGGATCAACAAATTCTTTTATTTGAGAATTAGTATTTAGTCTCAGAAGTTAGCTGTTCTCCAGATTTCCACAGATGAGGCAGCTAACCTGTCCTGGAGATAGGAATGTTGAAGGACAAATAGGGATCAACCAGCCACAAATAGGGGACAGTATTTCTAACACAAGGAATGGTAAGTGAAAAGCTCAGGGGCAAGCAAAGGTTTTCAAGAAATATTAAGAGCCAACATTTGTGTAGTAGACATTGTCTTAAGCTCAGTACCTAGATGGCCTTATTTAACCTGTATAACAATCTGAGATAGTGTTATCATCAAACCTTGTTTTAGAGGGAAAATTAAGGTACTAGTAGCAAATGTGGCAACTGGATTTGATTAGAGAAGACTTGAATTGAGCCTGTCCTCCTTACCAAAACATGCTTTTCTTTTCATTAATATGGCTAGTTATGAACTGCAAGTGGGAGCTTTAAAAATATTAAATTTTCTTTTGTCATCTTTCAGGGAAAGGTAAATGTGTGGGGGGAATGTTTTTGTTGTTGTTTTGTAATCTTCCTAAAGTTATATAACAAGGTCTCTTTACCATTTCTGAATTATGATAACCAGACATTCACTAATACAGGCTATTATTGAGAGTCAGTCTTGTCCAATACACTGGGTTGTGAATATAAAAGGAACACCGTAGACATAACCTCATGGAAATTTGTTTCAAGTACTATAAAGAAATTACAGTTGTGATGGGATAATCAGAGTGGAAACTTGACTTGTTTGGGACCCAGTCCCTCAAGAAAAAGTCATATGGAAACAATTTTCTACATATTTGCTAATTGTCAACATAGCAGTCATATTAAATTTACAGAGTGAAAGCTTTTATTTATTTAAAAGACACATGATTTAAAGAAATAACTTGTTTTTCTAACTTTCAGGATAAAACTCTAATAGACTCAAAACATGAATCTGGGGGAGCAAACAGTGATGGCTTGAACTTTCTATTTATTAAAGAGGTAAAGATTGCAGAGCCAGAGGAGGTGAAAAACTTAGAGCCTCAGGAGGAAGAGTCTTCAGAGAGGAAAGAAAAAGAAGCCCTTGAGGAGGAAGAGGCCTCAGAGCTAGAGGAGGTGGGACAAGAAGTTTCAGAGTTGGAGGAGGGAGAAGAGACCTCAGAGCTAGAGGAAGATGGAGAAGAGGCTTCAGAGTTGCAGGAGGGAGAAGAGTCTACAGGGCTGGAGGAAGAGGAAGAGTCTTCAGGGCTGGAAGAAGAGAAAGAAGANATCTTAGCTGTGGAGGGCAGTGTCACTGGCCCTCATATGTGGGATCCGAACCGGGGCCCTCTGGCATCCCAAGCGAGTTCTTAACCATCGCGCCACTCAGCCGGCCCTTAAGATTTATTTTTAAGTTCAGTGGTATTAACATTCACGTTGCTGTGCAACCATCATCACCATCAATCTCCAAAACTTTTATTTTTCCATACTGAAACTACCCATTAAACACTATCTCCCTATTCCCCACTTCCAACCCCTGACAACACCATTATACTTTCTCTGTGAATTTGATTATTTTAGATACTTCCCCTTCTGTGACTGGCTTACTTCACTAGTGTAATGTCTTCAAGGTTCATCGGTGTTGTAGCGTGTGTCAGAATTTCCTTTTTAAGGCTGAATAACCCAATGTATATACAGGGGGTGCCAAACAAAATCTACGCAAGTGGACAGTTCGGTCAATGTTGCTCAAGCAGTAGTTTGCCATAATCAAAAGTGGCTGGATGCTGATGGTAACCACTTTGAGCACCTCTTGTAATTGCAAAAGTCAAACACGACTTGCATTCATCTTTTGTTATCAATATATATTGAGTATTACAATTTTAATAGTTTTCCTTTCTTAAAATGTGTATACATTTTTTTGGCACCCTCTGTATATACCACATTTTGTTTATCCATTTGCCCAAGGGCACTTGAGTTGCTTCCATGTTTTAGCTACTGTGAATAATGCAATTTTGAATGTGGGTGAATAAATAACCTAGTCCCTGTTTTCAATTCTTTTGGGTTTATACTTAGAAATGAAATTGCTAGATCATATGGTAATTCTGTTGAATTTTTGAGGAACCCCTATTGTTTTTCATATTGACCTTCCTTGCATTCTTTTTTTTTTTTTTTTTTAAGATTTTTTTTGGGGAATTGGGGAAGGGGAACAGACAAGTTGCTGTCCTTTTGTTCTTCAGTCTAGTTGTGGAGGACATCGCTTTACTGGCCAAAGTTGGTATTATGATCATTGCGCTCTTCCCGGCTGAGGCAGTCGGTCGCCAGCCATTGGATGGCTGCTCACGGCAGCTCACAGCAGCCCATTGCAGCCCCACTGCAGCCTACACCGTCACTGGCAACTCATAGCAGCCCAGCTCCAGGTCCAGCTGATGTTCATCATCTTAGCTGTAGAGGGCGCAGAGTTACTGGCCCTAATGTGGGATCCAAACCGGCACTCTGCTGCTCAGAGTTGGTGTCCCAAGCCAACTCTTAACCAACGCGCCACTCGGTCGGCCCAAAACTGACCTTTTTAATATGTCAGTTTTGCCTTTTCCAGATAGTTATATTGTTGGAATCATACCATATGCAGCCTTTTGAGATTGACTTCTTTCACTTAGTAATATGCATTTAATTTCCTGCCATGTCGTTTAAAGTCTTGATAACTCATTTCTTTTTAGTGGTGAATGATATTCCGTTGTCTGGATATACCAGTATATCCACTCACTGACTGAAAGACATCTTGGTTGTTTCCAAGTTTTGGCACTTATGAATAAAGTTGCTAAAAACATCTATGCAGGTTTTTGTATGAATATAAGTTTTCAGCTCCTTTGGATAAAGACCAAGGGGGCATGATTGCTGGGTTATATGGTAAGAGTAGGTTTAGTTTTGCAAGAAACTACCAAACTGTCTTCCAAGGTGGCTATACCAGTTTTCACTCCCACCGGCAATGAACGAGAATTTCTGTTGCTCTACATCCTCACCAGCATCTGATGTTGTCAGTGTTTTGGACTTTGACCATTCTAATAGGAGTGTAATAATATCTCCCGTTTTAATTTGCATTTTCCTGATGACATGTGGAGCATCTTTTCATATGCTTCTTGCCATCTGTGTATCTTTCTGGTGAGGTTCTGTTCAGGTCTTTAGTCCATTTCTTTAAGTTGTTCATTTTCTTACTATAAGAGTTCTTTGGATATTTTGAATAACAGTCCTTTATCAGACATGTCTTTTGCAAATATTTAATCCCAGTCTGTGGCTTATCTTCTCATTTTCTTGAGTCTCATGCTAATTTGATTTTTTTTTTCTTTCTGGAATGTTTGTTAGCTATGGAATTAACCACCTATGAACAGATGATTTACAAATGTATATCTGCAGAACAGTAACTAGCTTGAGCTCAAGACCCACTTATCCTATTCTCTAGTTATCTCAAGTGCACCTCAAACTCTATATGTCAAGTAAAATTTGTACTTTACCTTTAAAACCTGCTTCTTTCTTGATCTTTCCTGTTTTGATGTATAACAAGCATCACCATTCTTCTAGTAGGGAAACCAAGTACACCAAAGCCCACCCTCCTGATTTCTTACCTCCTTTAGCAGATGCTTGCGATTTTTTTT